CCACAGAAAGCCTCCAAACTGGTCCGAACCATGTAAGGGACGCAGCCAAGCCAAATGCAACTCTTCACTTTATCCGTAGACAACTTGGTGCTATGACCCTGCAATTATTTTCGACACTATTTAAGACGTATGCGCGACCACACTTGGAGGTTCACAATGTCATCGCACCCCCTCTGCTTAAAAGAGACATAAATCTCTAGGATCGAGTGCAGAGACGAGCAACGAAATGGGTGAAAGGGTTGGAAAATAAACCTTACGACGATAGACTACAGCTCTTGGGGTTATATTCCCTGAGCTACCAGTAAGAATCAGACGTGATCTATTTATGGCTCTGCACACAGCATATTAAACACGCCAGAAACCGATCGCAACTGTGAGCATCACTTGCCGATGCAGCACAAACACTCCCCTCGAGACAATCCTCGAAAGATTGAACATCAGATTCGTTCATACCTTTTCTCATTGCGAGTCGTCACAACTTGGAATGCTCTCCCAGCCAAGGTAGTTACAGCCCCCTCAGTGGACTGCTTTAAGAAGAGACTTGATAATCACGTACTCACATACGGACTATCATCTCCCTCTTGGACAAGCTGTGACTAATGCATATCTTGAGACCTGCTAGTTGTTATAATTGCCATCTACCCAGATCACTTACTTAATCTATCTCGCCTATTATCGCTGTTTCCTCTCCCTCGCTTACTATTCTGTGCTCTCTCACAATCTTCACCACCAATTAACAAACTAAACTCATCTATATATTACTCAGTTCTGAAATTTAATTCACATTAGCATTAGAATTTTATCCATATTATCCTTATTATTTTCCACATTGCAACTAACTGATCTCCGGTTTGGTAATGTGACGGCTGCTGGTATCCAGAAACCCTACTGCCCTGAAACAAACTTTTTCATTCAAATCCCGAGACATTCGAACTCACAACCAACTGCCAACTGACTAGAATTAGACAGTCGAGTGGCTAGACTCCAATTCTTTGGACACAACAGAAAACCTGGAACCGTACCGAAGGAACAAGATTCGAGCGCAAACAAATCAGTTGGTTTATGCTAGCTCGTGAAAAAGATATTGGATATTGGACATTGCACATATCAGCTTTATCACAAACATTAGATTTTGTTTCAGTAACCGTCTGCGCCTGGTATACGAGTTTCAAATATTTTTTCTATCATCGTGTACCCTTTGTTTGGCACCATCATTAATTCAGGAATCAACTTAGACAATTCTCAGTTCGTTTTTTGAGTAATATCTGTTTGGTTATCAGTTTCTCCTTACTTGTGGTTTCTTTGTCCAAGTTATTTAATAAACATTCGTTCGACGACCAGACATTGCTAAACAACACAGACTGTTGATACCTGGTGGTAATCGCTATGCAGCACTATGAATGCCAGAATGATATCAAGAAGTTTGCACGAATCCTTTGAACTGTTTTGTAAACATGGATGCGGGTGATTGCGCTGTCAGTGCTGATCGGATGAAGATAGCCTGATATAAAAATCTGTTAAATTGGTTAACGCTAGTAAATACAAATGTAGCCGGTAGATATAGTCCCCTGTTATACTACTACGTAATTTACGAGCTCTTAAGTGGAATTCACATCATAGTCTTCACTGACTCATCCTACCGTGACTGTCAACAGTATTCTTCGTAGTATTTCTGAAAGACACATTTGGATCGGAACTAGGATAATATAAACAACCTGAAAAGAGATTACATTTAGTAACCAACCCTGCATGACTGACGTATGGCGCCTTCAATATATGTTCTCGCTCTCACCATTACCAACCCTCGTTATTCATTAAACACTAAATGTAGGTCTTCGCAGTTATTCTGTTTAGCTTTAAGGGCCGTGTGATTGGGGAACCAATACTCCATAATACATCAATGATGTGATGATAAAGTTTTGCTGTCTCGTCGACACTGGCGCAGAAGTTATTTTTCAGTCATAAATTAACTGGTAGCAGACGAAAAACAGATCTCGAGTTAAGGTAAAATGTAAGCTTATGTTAACGTCCATTTACGCAAACCTATCCACTGGATTTCTGTTGTTACAGACATGTCAGTATTAGTCGTTGGCACAGACTTGTTACTACACCACAACTTACTCGTCTATTTAAGACTAGGATAATAAATTATCTGTTTTCAGTTCCATTTTCTGGTTTTAGTTTATTACAGTGAGTCCGTACTTCCAATAGACACTTGAAAAGTATCATGAACTGTACGAAACATGACCGCAATTGCCATGTATAACCAGCAGCAATGTTAGTGCGGAATTATTTCATGTACAAAAGCTTGCTGGTCATGTAAATCTGTCCATAAACTGTAGTTGTATTAGCTTATTCATCATAAACCTTTACATAACCAAATGACATCAGCGTATTGGCGTAAAAGTAGTTCAGGATCGTCTACACACTTAAATCCTACCCTTTAGGATGGAAGTCGAAGTCCCTCATAGTTTTACTAATGTACTGAAGTTCGAGAGTTTCACAAAGTTGCATTATGATAAGCTTTCTTCCTACTAGTTAATCTCAAAGTCATTGTTGAAATTTCATATGACCGATGGTATGGTAGTTCTACTTTTTAGCCTAATCCCTCATATAATAGATCATTTATTTATCTTTGATGTTTCCTGGTTAGTCAAAACAGTCGAAAACTGAAGGACATTCTGCTCTATTTTCTTGGTTCATCAATCCTTATTTGCAGAAACCTTTTCCTAATTCCACCCGTGTCATTAAATATTCGAAGTAAATCTCCTGTGATGCCATTCTGCCTTCCCGCTTTATGATTACCCTGTAGTTGTGTTTGCTATATTTTTCCAAATTATAAAGCACCTGCAATGAACTATTAAATGTGTGTTACAGTTAAGGCTATATTATTGTCTGTCATTACTGAGTCACAGGTTCACTTCACATGTTTTCATCTCCTCCAGGTTTGTCTGCATATTCACTAACTACACAGCATTTCACTTGGTTAAACGCGATCCTACCTGTCTGCAGATACTTTACGATGTTTAATCGACTAACAAGTTTATCAAGTCTGATAATTTTCTCTTTGGCTAACTTAGAGGTGAGTAGTTTTATATATGTATGGGATATGTGCAAAACTGTACTGTTCGGTAATTGGTTTGATAGTATCAGGTGTAAGGTCTTTAAAATTATCATGCACTTTATGGAAAGATTTGTCTTCATTAATGAATTCATCTGATAGTTTGCCGAGCTTTCCATTATAAACAACACTAAACATCTACAGTATCTTTAGATTTTCACCTTCTCCTTTGGAAATCAAAGAGAATATTTGTACCACCCTTTTGGAAGCATTTTAATTTTTTAATGACTTTGTATTATTAACTTATTGACATAATTTTTGAGGAAAAGTAAATGTTATCTATGTATGTTTAGTCTAATGGTTAGATTTGTCATTTGCGTTATTATGAGAAAAGACAAGAAAATCCGAAAATAACTATTCTGGATGCATTCATACAAAAAATATCTTTGTATATTGACTACGTGCCTTGCAGTTATCGCTTTCTCATTTAATGTTTCTAACGAATGTAATGCAATATTAGCTTCTAATGTTTAGTCAGGAGCCCTATATACTTATTTAAGTTTGGTTTGTCGATTAGATTTTCCATAAATTTCTACTGTGGCGTATCAGCTATCGATCAAGATTTACACAGGGATCACCAATTTAATTTGATATCCAATACACTCGCATATTTCATCCCTTTTACGTGTTTGGTCATCAATTAACATAACTAAAATTAGCGTGATGTTAAACTAAAAGTAGCAACAATACACAAAAATATGTGAGCGATTATTCCCTGTTTCCGAAAGATTTCATTGTGGTTATTCATGTCATATTGCTGGTTTAAGGTGTTAGTAGTCTGCAGACAATAATGAATTTACACACCTAAAAACTACTTCATCTGTCTTGTAACAAAATGAGTAGTAATGCATATTTCACAGTTTCACCCATCAATCTTTAGCTAACCAGTTTTCCTTTTTAAGTCTTATTCAGATACTTATGTATATAGAGAATAATTGTGGGTACTATAGACCAAAAAAAGTATATTATAAAAATATTTTGTTATTTATTTGTTATTTTAATTTTAATAATACTTTGTAGGCCTGCAAAAGAAATCCACCAATTGGTAAAATATATGATTTCACGGTCACTGATATTGACGGTAATGAAGTTCAGTTAAATAAATATTCGTAAGTATTCTACTAATATCTAACTAATTATCTTGTCTTTAGGGATAAAGTCTGCATAATTGTGAATGTCGCCACTGAATGAGGCCTTGCAAACACAAATTATCCTCAGCTTCAGAGACTATATACCAAATATTCTGAAAGTGGCCTTCGAATTTTAGCTTTTCCTTGTAATCAGTTCAGAGGACAGGTAACGTAGGGCTCATTTAATTAATCTAACTTCAGGAACCCGGGACCGATCAAGAAATTAAACTGCGCGTGTTGGCCAAGTATAATGTGACATTTGATATGTTCCACAAAATTGACGTCAATGGCGAGAATGCTATTCCTTTGTACAAGTTCCTAAAACAGTCAATATCATCCTGGTTTTCCAGGTTAGCTCTCAAAATCTGTTTAAATTTTAATATCAGTACAAAAACGGTACTTTCTTTTATGGTTTCGGTTTCGTAATCAATTCCCTCATAAGCGATATAGCAATTAAACCTTATGGGATCTATCATCTCAAAAGGCCTTTGGCTTCTACTTTCGTTTCGCTCATAGATTGATGATAAAGTATGCCAGCGCTTTAACAATCTATATCAAGGCTCGAAGATCTCACTTCGTTGCCATCTTTGAATCGTATTAAACTGGAAAAAAGCGTTAGGAAATCACCAGTTTATGCAACTGCAAACATGATCATCCAAAAGTTATCAGGTAGCTTCAAGTGATGCCTTGTACCCAAACAAGTAAGATTATAGTCACCAAAAGTACACAAGTTCCCGGTGTTATTAGTCGACTTTAACCATTTTATTCCAAAACAAGGTTTTTTGGAGCTCAATAAAGTTCTTTATGTAACGAGATCACGTGCAGTTTTCAAGAGAACAGTGTTGGGTTTGTGTACATTTGTAGCATGATGATTAGGCACACAACTTTCATCTATCAGTTTGAAAATTTGGGCTCCATTTTAATTCATGCATCTTTTAAACAAAAGTTTACTTCAAAGCTAAGTATTCGATCTCGCAGTTGATTACATTTTTTATACGCTTCTGTTATAGATATCAGGACATGCTCAAATTTGTTTTCCGGGCTGTAATCCTGCTCTTTGTATCACAGTAGCACACAGAGTACTCATTCCTTTCCCGATCATTTGATCTTCAGTGTGTTCTTTTTACTGTGAAAGACTTAAAGAAATCTGTCCTTGTAAACAAGTAACATTTATACCTGTCTTCTGTTTAATAGCAGAAGTTATGTTTTCCTGCTACACAAATATTTCTTTTTCACTTCGTTTTCCTCATAACTATGACTCTGCTATACAAATCCTGAAGTGTATATTTCCTCAAGCAGTTTACAAGGCATTTCACTGAGATAAAACCCTAGAATTTTATTGTCACTATCAAGATAAAAGACTTATAGTTACAAAAAGAAATAGCCGACCGCGCATAGCCTACTAGAAAGATTTAGTAATCATGAATTCGAGTTGGTAACATTGGTTGTTAGTATATGATAATCAAGTCATTTAAAAAAAAGTTTAGTTGTGGGGACAGAAAAAAAATATTAGGAAGTGGTGAAGATATTTGATCGTGAAGGTGATCTTAATCTTTGCTAGATAGATATATGAAGGTAATTGTCACTCTTTGGTTCCTCGCATTGTAGAATCTAGTTAATAGATGATTTTTGCTTTGTAAAACACAATTCTAAAACTGAAAATTTGTGTATGATATGGATTCGAATTTAAAATGTATCGAAATTATCATACGCGAAGCATAGATCAGGTTGTGAAATTTCAGTCTGTTATTGTTTTAGGATTGTAAAACTGAATGAATCGAATGATAAGTGATGCTGAATGATGTGATACATCGATAGATTGAGTTTTTTTTCTAACTCAGCAAAATGTCCGGCTTTCACGCACACAGTAAATAGCTCTCGTAACTAATTGTGTGGTTAGAAATCAATTGAAACATCAACGGTCAGAAGAAATGGATTTCGAAGGTAGTTCATGTATCAACATCAGTAGCGACGTAGAACTTCATACGTACGTACATCAGTTTAAGTTGCCATACCACATTAGCACAGAGATGCAATTGTCAATTCTCAAATCCCACAGTAGTAGTAGAGGTAGTAGAAGTATTAACAGCAATCGGAATTCTTAGGGTTCGAGGATATTACTGAAGAAGTAGAATCTAGTGAAATAAACTTAAAAGCAAGAGATAAAAGTGACAAGAACTTCAGAAGATTAGGATTTGACAGAACACAAAGAGTGGATGCACCTGCGCTATTGCAAACGATTTTGAGCCATATCATTCAGGGTCTCTAACTATCCGCTACTTTCATCTTGCGGACCCCAACCATTTATTTTAAATTTACCGACATGACTCAGTCCACTCGTCAGTGACTTCATGGATTTGTGCCAGGTTATAGTTTGACCGCCCCTAGCTTTTCTCCAAACTATTCCTTCACCGCAAAACATAGCTTGTCGAGGCAATCGCTGGTTAAGCATACGCAACACATGTCCCAACCACCTTAACTGATGAAGTTTCAACACTTCATTTATTGTTCTGCCATCCTTACTCAATACCTGTCTCCTAACGATAGCATTGCTTGCTCGGTTGTCCCATGATACACGAGCAATGCTTCGGAGACACCTATGATCGAAAACAAGCAACTCATGAATATCTTCTACTCTGACTAGTCATGTTTCGCATCCGTACAGTAGGACGGAGCGAAATGCTGCACAGTATACTCGTCCTTTGGTTAGCAAACGGACATTTCACGTACGCCATAAGTGACACATGTTGACAAAAGCTAATTGAGCCTTCTGTATGCGTTCTGAAATTTCGTCAGTCACTAGGCCATCAGCACTGATGAGACTCCAGAGATAAGTGGAGTGGTCAACACGCTCAACTGCTTCACTCCCTATTACTAATTTACGTGTCAATGCAAATCAATTCTGAAGCAACATTTTGCATTTCAGAGAGTGAGAATCGCATCCGGAACATGCTTGCATTGTTTCTTAGGGTAGTCAGGAGACACTGCATTTTGTCATGTATAGATGGAATTGAATCTGATCGTCAAGCTTAATTTTTAAACTGCCATATCGATGAGATGTTATACTACCTAATTTTTTTCATTGCGGCATTAAAAAGACAAGTTGATTGAAGATACTTTTCATTTTCAATTAGTGCTTTATTAGGGCCATACACTAATATGTATGCTGTAAAAAATGAGTGGAAGATCGATACCAGTTAGATGTTGCTGTGTCAATTTAAGAATATAATAATCGCCATTATTAGCAGAGGTGAATAGTGGTTAGCAGTAAAATCCAAAGTGCCTGGTTTGATCTGTTTGGCACTCGTCAGCTAGATATATACCAGCATACCAATTCTAATTTACTTTTCATCTTATTTCAGTAAGTTGTATGTTTGATTTAAATATCTAGTATATCTGGTGTTTCTATTTACTCCCGAGTTAATTGTATATAATTATTTCATATCTTACAGGGAACTTGAATGGAATTTCGTCAAATTTCTAGTTGACAAAAATGGTACTCCTGTAAGTCGATACTCCTCGATTACTCCACCTGACGTAAGTTTTATTGGTTTTTACTGATCAGTCGTTTTATTAGTTTCGCCAGATCGGTAATTTTAGAGTTTCTCCATATGCTTTTAAATTAACTGACCGCATATTATTTTTCATAAACAACCATTAAACGTAAACGTGATTCTTTGCATATCTTACTTTTGTGCCTATTTAATCATGCTACTACTTAGTACATTTAAGTAGTTCAGTAAACAGAAGCGGGTGCATGATGACTTCACTGCTTGTCCAAATAGTATACTTCGTAGTCAGAGTTCAGACCGAAAATGATCAACTGTTTAAATAGTATCAAAACGGTTAAGTCAAATACTGTATCATTTGACTCATAGGTATGGTGGTACAGTCAGCCATTTTATTTGAATAATAACTTGTGAAGTCACAAATATTAGTCAGATCAGTAAGATTACTTTTGACAGTACTCAGATATTGTTTATGTTATCTTTCGTATTTGTAAACATAAAACAGGTAACTCTCATTTGTGTTTATGATTTGAAACTTATCCTTTCAATAAGGTACTAATTTCTTCTATTGACTATAGTCTTTCTTCCACTATTCCCCACGATTTTTACTAAGTGATCAACACTGTTGACAATATTTATTCAGCCTTTAAAAAAACTTTTTTATTCGCATGATCATAAACATTGTTTTAAAATGAATCTTTCAAATAATATTTACACATTTCCAAATACGACCGAACACTTCCAGTGATCATTCGGCAAGATTATATGTAGAAGAGACTGACGCATGGATAGAATTGGATGTTAATGTATGTGTCAGTCTTGTGAAATCTTGATAATTCATCAGTTAGGTTACACAAAAGCAACGCGATAAATTCCTCTTTACTAATGCTATCCATACTCATCAATTTCACTAGATTCGAGTTTATTGGTTTTTCGAATTTCTGTTATTATTCTATCATCAGATTCCATATCAGCCATAGAATTGCTATTTTTTGGCACTGCGAATAACTTTAAGTAATTGCATTATTGAAAACAAACAACATTACCGATGAATGTAGTTTAGGCGTGCAAACACTACATTAGATTAATGTATACAAAGTTAGTAATTTAAAGAGGGAGAATTATTAAGACAGGATATTGTTTATGTTACGCCTGCACGTAAACACGTCAACTTGATATACTTGAACTGTTACGAGTTTACCCAGTCGGAAAACGAGAGTGAGGATCGAGGATCCGGCGACACGACATGGTACTCAAATCCGGTTATTCCAACCCCATAGTAAAAATAAGAAGACGTGATATGAAGTAGAACCTGAATTCTACAAGCATCCAGAAAGTACGAGGTTCGAATCCAGAAGAGAATCAGGATCCTGGACTAGGGATCCGGGACCGAGCCCTGGTTCTGGTCATGGTCATAAAGAGCCACAAATAATGTGTATTTATACATTTTGGTCGAATAGGAAACAGCATCAAATTCTGTGGCATTGACAGCTAAGACGACCAATAGGAAGTAACATTTGAAGTGACATTGATAATCAGGACAACCAATAAGAGAAAACATTGAAGTATTTGACTTTGACAGTTAAAACGACCATAAATTTGACCAATTGAAATCGACCAATACGATTTGACCAATAATTCTCTTAGGATATTGGATGAATATCCTAACAGTCTAGTACTTAAATTCTTGATACTAACTTTCTTGTTGTTTCTTAGTTCCTCAGAAATTCTCTGTAGTTAAATCCTTGACAGAAAGCAATGTATATGAAAAGAAGTTTTATGGATATAAGAAACACGGATAATTGTTAGTTCATGCCGGGACCTTTCTAGTCTAGAGGGCTTTTAAAGACATTTTTTGTTTAATGCAATAACTAAATATGAAATTCTCCAATCAGAATATAGTATAATTCATAATTCTTTTAAATAAACTTGGAAAAGTTTCTGTTAAGCTTTAATTAGACAATGTATTCTCAATTTTCGAAGTCATTTCCAAGAAAGTGTTATATTTAGTCAGTCATTCTCTTGAACTGAATTTATTAACTTTTTACATGTATTGAAATTGCATAACTCGGAGTATTTATTCAGAATAAATTGATTTCATTTTTTTTTCTCATTTATACAGAATATGGAAGCTGAAATTCGAAAGTTACTTGGTCTTTCTAATGAACTGTAGAATCACTTATTTATATTTGTCTGTTAGCTTTCTAGTCAATTATTATCATTATTATTATTCTGCTTCATTACAATTTATATCATCAAAGTGATTGATTGATATACACTGGCAAAAAAAAATTTATATAATTTAACGATCAATTAATGATGAATGTGTTTGAAAATCGTTTTCAACGATGAAACACATTCTGATGTATTCATCAAAACTCTGGTATATGGTTTTGATGAGATCGTAAAATTATAATTTTTTGCATGTGTATTATACAGCACTGCTTCCTCCCTTATTTATTTATCTCTCTCTGTGTGTGTGTGTGTGCTTATTATTATTATAAACGCTTCTAAACAAATCTTATTTAATCAAGCTAGTGTTAGATACAATAGTGGATTGAACAGTTGACTATTCGGTCACTGTCACTACATTATACTACTTAGCCAGAAATAAGTTTATTCAATGTGAAGATGATATAAATGGATGAGTCAGTTTATATTATCACTTGATTGTTTATGTTATCAATTATCTGTCATGTTACATATTTTATTTAATTTACTTATAAATCTACTTATTTAATTAATATTCTCGAATGAATCAAAAGAAATCATGTTTCATCAATCAAATTGAATTACATCTCTGAATTAATTACCGCATTATTTAACTGTTCAATTAGAATAGAAAAAAAAATCATTTAAAAGAAGTTCGTTTTTATTTTTTTTTTTTATTATTATTTTCATTTCAATTACAAATGATCACATTTTTCAACAATGATGAAGGATTGATATCATGTGATGTTTTTTTTTGATGATGGAATTTCGTTCTCTGAGTTGAATAATTTGGTCGTGGAGTTTTGATTGGTTATTTTGAACGACATCATCAGCAGCACAAACTTCAGATAGATCTACAACCAAAACGCCGCATCCAACTCAGAGAACGAAACTTCACCATATAATCATCCAACTGAACTACAAATATTCTTCACCATCTCATGTTTAATGTTTGGAAACCTATACTAGTTTAATTCTTATAAGTCTAGAACTTCGATAAGACAATAAGTAAGAAGTTAAATTTGAAACATGCATTATGAAATGGTATTGTATGATTGATTAGTTAGTCATCATAAATAAGTAAGCATGATAATCAGGTTATAATTTTACACGTTTTCACTATAGCATTGTAGAGAATGTTGAGTTTCATTGAAATCATAAAATCTGAAAGCATTGGATGACCGTTTCACATTAGTCTGGGATTCTTCTATAGTAGGCCTCTATGACTCACACTCACGAAAATCGAACTGAAGACCTTCGGTCTTGTGCGCGAATGCTTAGCCTCTAAACCAGTGAGCTGGCATCGGACAATGTTAATGTTGTAACCTCGATCAATGACGTATAAAATACTTGTCTAATATAATTAACGTTTTCAACTTTAATCATGTGTATAAGTATGTAATGTTACTGTGTAAGACGACTTATATTTTTTTCGATGAGTTACTCTGTTTTTTGAAATCCAACAATCCGAATTTATTTATAGTAACACTCCATCACAATAACTATATCAAATCAAGCGATCGATCTCAATCAACCAAACTCATACTGTTTTTTCTGTCATACTTCTGAAGCGTGAGATGATTTGCATGTAATTTGTTGTGAAACAAATTACTCAGTGCATATTCATTCATAGAATTTCGTATAATAAATCGTGCATTGTCTCAATCACTTATTGATTACTTTTTTCATCCGTATCAACCAATATTGTTTAAAAAGATTACCGTAAATCTGAGATTCATGTTAATTAATGGTCAAGAAAATATAATTGAATTCACAAGTCATTAAAATTAATCTGACTATGTAATTAAGAATGTAGCATTATAGTCCAAATTGGTATACGAATTATAAACTGGAAGCTGATCAAAGAAGTTATTTCACTTTGTATTATCTCACTGTCAGCATCAATTAAAATAGTGTTATAATAAAACACAAAAGTAGACAAATTCAAATTGTTAAATGTTTCTTTTGTATTTGAAATGAAAAAGCAGAAAAATAACAGCGATATTTTGATAAACGAAGCAGGAATACCCAGTAATAGTGAATAACTTAATATCCTTGAAAACAGCGCAGTTAGGGGGTATTCCATAGAATATCACTGCATCGTTAAGGATGTGAGTGTAAGCCATTTAGAAGCTGGGATGGGTAATTTTTGACATCATAAAGATGAAAATAAAGTATTATAGTAAGTTTCAACGTTTAATTCTTATTTAAGGACATGAATATTGGTAGAAAAGAGCATGTAAATATTTGTGCGCTGCACAAATTCATTTTGTGAGTGGGCTGGGCGTCCAAACCGAAGCAGGTTGCTTTTTAGGACTCACTATCTGAGCCTATGACCCAAAAGTATAATCCACAAGGCAGTAGAGCAACTGAATGAGGAGACGCAATCCCATGGCAGCCGGTAACCAACGATAGTCTTACACGCTCAAATACGCCAATGGTTTGAAATCAGCGTTTTTGAACTCCCCCACGTGGATACTCCAGACCCACCAACTCCGTTTAATGCTCGCTTTTCGTCTTTTGAATTTAGTAAACAACACCCCTGCCACAAGGATGCAGTGGGTAGGATTTCCCTAGCAGTGGATATATGAGCTCATTTCGTGAGAGAGCAGACTCCTCACTTCCCGTCGTGCCGAGGCATTTGGAAGCCAGTTTCCACAGTTGAAAGTGTGTTAATCATACAACTTTTAACAATTTCATTCTTAATCAACTTACGTATATTTAATTCAAACTAAAGGGGTAAGTGACTAAAATAGCTATTTCTAATTGACAGAACTACTTGTAGTTTCACATCACTGATTAACTTTATTTAGGCAACCACTGAGTGTCAGTAAGCACTTTGTAGAAGTATAAGACTTCGTAACAACGGTACATATTCACAAGGGATTGAAATCTACCGTAACCTGTTTTGTACGTTGTTTATACCAGAGAAAGTCATATCTGTCTTGTGAAATTTGTAATGACAACTATTAGATTCGTTGGATTATTGCACCTGGAATAGACTGATGTGTGAGGACATCTCCTAGCTTCTCAGGATACAGATGTGTGTAGATTATAGAAATAAATGATCGCACAGTTAAGGACTGTTAATTTTATTTCAAAATGATATAACCAACAATCATAACCAACACTTAACACAGACTAAAACAAAACTAACTAGTTCAACATAGTTGAAGGCATAAATTAATAAGTAGCTAGTTTGTAAACGATCAATAGTATTTGATATATTCACAATTCAGGAATTAATACATTCATTAGTAGTATAGTTCAAATACACAAAACTTACAACTGAAATTCGAACTAACCTCATGAAATGTTTATTTGTTTAATATGAAAAACTTTTGAAATATATTTTGAGTGTGAATAAAGCCAACAAAAGTACATAACAATCACGTCTCCAAAAAAAACAAACTGAATAACATTATTACTCATCAGCTGATTAAATATTATATCTATAAGAAATACAATATCAAGTTAACAACTAACGTTTCATTGTTTCTTATGGAATGAATTAATGTATATATATATATCACATTTTCAAACGCTATTAAAATAACAATTTTTATAATTATGATTATTATTTGTATTTGACTTGTTGAAAATTCGGAAAATTAAATTATAATTAAAGTCAAAAGTTCATTGAACATTTAATTTATACAAATTGAAAATATTTTTTTTGTTTAAATAGATAGATCTATTTCATAGTTATTTTGTGACTGTTCATCTATGCTTATATGCTAGTATTGGTTATTTTAATTCGTATCATTTTCAATAATGTTATTTTCCAAATGAACTTTTAGCTAAATGACAATTTTTTAACAAATTTTCCAAATTGTGTTTGCTCAATATATTGTCTACATATTCGAGACATACAGAAAAAGTAAACTTTTGAGGCGGACGATTTTGAAAAACTGAATATTTTAGCAAGATACTTTTCTTAAATTGATAATAAATAACTGTTTGTCTGGTTTTAGATCACAAACTAACTACGACCATATATATGTTGAAAACCGGGGAGGATTGAATAGTTGTTTCAGTAGTATTTACCTGCGAATTTAATAAGGTTTTATGCTTAGTGTTGTATCTAAACTAGCCGTCTTAAAGTAATCAGCCCACAATATTTCTATTTTCCCACAAGAGATTTACAGAAACTTTTGCAACGAGGTCACTAGTAGGTGTAATTCTGGTGAAAGTCTTTGCAAAATTCTGAAGTTTCTTTCCCCTGTTTTCTCAGTAGCTCTGTTTAATCAATCAAAAAAACGTCCCAGCTGAACTTTTGATTAAAGGTGGTATAGAGGAGACTTTGTATGGCTTACCCAGTTTTCTCTACAGAATTTATCAAATTGGTCTGGGGTGAACCGTGTTCCATTGTCAGAATTATTAGTATGTGATAGTCGGAAACGACTGAACACTTCTGTAAGTTTTTGTATTGTGCACTAGTAGATAGACTGCAGATTACGAAAAATTCTGGTCATTTTGAAAATGTATCGACGATAAACAGAAATTGTTTCCTTTGAGAGGGTCCAGAAAAAACCATGTGATGACATATCCACCGTTCTGTTGGTACTGGCCATCGTTGACGTTCATTCTTAATGGGTAGTTTTGCTGTCTTTAAACACCTGTAACATCTCGCTATCTCTCCAAAATCTTTAACGATATTTGGTCAGTATGGGCAAGCACGAGATATTGACTTCATGCGACTCAAACCGGGATGAAAAGAGTGTAAAAGCTAAAGGACTGATTGTCGAAGACTATTAGCATAGAAGACCCGATTACCAGTTAGAACACAATTGTTTACAATTAACAAAGAGTTTTTCTTCCTGTGGAGCAGTTTCAAGACCTCCGAATGATGCGGAGCTAGACATAACGAGTGTAGCGCATTAGTTTAAAAATAATCTGATCATTCTTAATGGAATCCGCATCTTCCATTGATGTTTAAGTGACAGAGTGAACAGCACTTGTGAAAGTACTGTGAACAAATTAGACCCAATGGCATATTTCGTAATGATAGCTGTTCTATCCAAACAATCTCCAGTAAATCTGAATTATCCCGATTTGTCAGGTAACATTAACCTCCAAAAGTCCTACTCGTAAATGAAGCATCATATTAAATTCCATCAACCAGTTTTATTAGACCAGCGGATGCATTTCTGTCTCTGTGGGACTTTTTTGAGACAGGTGGGTTGATTCAAGTGTACGCCAAGTATCTTCGGAAGGATACTATCCCCTTTCATCCAAAATTTATGTCTCTGAAAAATTTTTGGGAAATAAAACCTGTATATTTATCGTGTTCACCAGTTATCAACTTCCTGAAGAAAACATGTAATTTTGTTACATTGTCTAGATCAACCAAATCAACTTTAAATAAACCTTCATATCTATTGTACCAGGTATCGAGTGAAATAAAGTGAAAACTAAAAATACATTGAAAATCTTTTGGTTAAAGGTATATGAGATATATGAAGACTATGATGACACTCACTGTACAGCTTAAAATGTAGATAATTTGATTCACTTCTTTCCTATCAGAAAAAGTTATCGAGTATAAATATGAGTATTTCACAGGCTTAATTGTTTAAAACAACAAACCTGACGTGTTCATAAATAAATATTCAAAGTCTAACAAGCATGAGAGAGTAGCTATGATATTTCGTAATAGACACGTGTTGATCAATGTATCCACCAACAGTGAACAGTTTGATGAATGGAACTTTCATACCGTCCTGGTTAGCGCTACTAGAGCCCTTTCTGGTGTTACTGCCGGTCCCGAACCCGGTTAAAGGAGGAGTGTTGGGCACGTAGTTGGCAACCCAATCCCGTAGAAATCCAACTCGCTAACCAGAAAAAAATAATTCACTGATCGGCGGCCTATGCTCCATTATGGGTAACAGGCGTAATTAAGTTTTGAGTCTCAGTAGGTTACAACGTAGAACTTCGTACATGAGTACACACGTTCATGTTGCCATACAGCATCAGCACAGAGAAGCAACAGTCAATTCAAATCACATAGTGGTAGCGATAGAGGCAGTATTAGCAGTAATGGAGAAGATAAGGGTTCGAAGATATGATTCGAAAAGTATAATTCAGTGAGATAAATTTAGAAGGAGAAAGATAAAGATTATGACGAATTCAGAAGGTTAGAATTAGAGAGAACACAAAGAGTTGATGCACCTGCGCTATTTCGAGCCATGTCGTTCAAGGTCTCTAACTATCGATGACTTTCATCTTGCGGACCCCGATCAGATAGCCTACATTCACCAACATGACTCAGTTCACTTGTCAGTGATTTCATGGATTTTTGATGTGTTTTGGTTTGGCCGCCCCCATATATATATACATACCCCAGTTCCCACAGTGTTTATATAAACGATTGATAAATCAAATCAAATATCAGTCTACAATATTCTATTTACTGTTATTATTTCTCATACATGCAAATGAATGAATGATGAAATAGATTATCATACGCAAAAATGAAGATTAGGTACACAAAAATGAATCTAACACAAGAATGTGCTCATACAAACACACACAAACAAAAAATAGGATACCATACATACATACATGAACAGTGTGCGTAAGTGTGATTCAAATGAAATTCTCTTTTATAACAAAAACAAAACAAGGACACACAGTATGAGCACAGTTGACACATACAGTCAGACATATTGTAAGTAAGATCAGAGATGTAAAAAAAAAACAGTACAATGCACTGAGACTAAAAACACAACCATTATCGTCATTCAATGCACGATAAAGGTCAACAATGGTTTTTAAGAGCTTAAGAATACAAAAAGAATGAATCATAGTCACATAAAAGAATAATACAATCAAAACAAAAAAAAAAGTAAGAAAATAATTTTACCTTTTAAAAAATCATTTCAATTGTATCTGAAAATCCATTGTTAAATTTTAAAGGATTATAACCACCGAATATTAAATTATAACATTTATCTGATGTTAATATTGTACCACAACTGGAACGAGCAAACAATAAATTTGGTCCTGAACGCCATTTCCAAGCAACAGGATCAAATATCCATGTAGTATCTAAAGTTTCATGACCATTATATCCACCAACCAATAGTAAATTATCTAAATGATTTGAAATAAAAAACAAAACAGAAAACATTGAAATCGGAAAAGAATATTATCGATTTTTCAGTAAGAAACTAACAAACCATGTTTCTAACACATATTTACTATGATAATGTGCACGAAACCTTTTTGCGTGACTTTGAGTTGACGCTAGTTATCTATCATTTGATAGCAAAATGTACACTTACACAATCTTGAGCAAACTGATATATCCAATGAAATTTAAACTCGTATCAACCAGCATTTGCATAACTGATTGATTGATTGATTGATGATAAAACAAAAATCATGATTTCAATAAGAGTAGATGCAACTCTTAAAACAAAATAAGTTTGTCATTGTGAAGAAAAAATCAACAATATGACATAATTTGAAATCATGAATGGATGGATGGATCGCTGTTTCGTCCTGGTATGAGACTCATCAGTAGTGTGCACACACGACTCCTGAACCCCGCAGGACTCGAACCCTTCGATATTGTACGCGAACGCCCAACCATCGGACCACTGAACCGGTGTGGTGCGAGCTACTTATAAGTAGTATATAGCGTGAGTGTCAACGTAATGTCCGGCAGCATAATATGGAGGAAGATCAAGAAAGGAAGAGTTAGAAAACAATGGAATTTGTATGAAACGCATGAATAGTGACAATGGAATGATGTTTTGCAACAGGAACAGTCCAGTTCGATATGATGAACTGATATTTTGCAAATTAACGATTTACGATATGGTTTTCCGATTTTACTGAGTAACACTGTAATTTTCGTTAAATACAATTCGGTTGCCCCACCTGTGTTCTCATTCACTACACTTCGATCAATTCACGGAGTTGCACAACCTCATACACTGTCTTCAGTAGTTACCGTCTACACCCGGACAGGTTGAAATTCACTGGTCACGACTTCTCACTAGAACTCGGAGTTGGGTTCCTCATGGAGCTACGAAATAATTCCAAAACTATGAAAACCTCATTCTACAAAAAAAAACAACTAATCACCTACAAAATTGAAATAAATATTGCTCTTCTTAAGAGTAAAGTTGATTGAGAAACAAGTAAGTTTACATAATTTTGAATGGAAGTGAATATATATTGCTTGAGAGGTCAGTTGTTAAGTTTTCAAGTGACATGGCATCAACAACCTTGTACCTCCGTGTACATTTGCAAATTTTCAGAAAATGTTATTAAATTAATTCTAGTTTTATTTTTATCCAGTCAGTCAGTTACAACGTAGAACTTCGTACGTACATACATAAGTTCAGGTAGCCCCACACCACATTAGCGCACAGAGACACAACTGTCAGTTCAAATACCATAGTGGTAGAGATAGTAAACGCATTAACGATAATGGAGAAGATTATGGTTCGAAGATATTATTCAAGGTGTTAAAATTAAAAAAGGCTATGCTGCTGCTACCCTAAGAAAATAAAATGTCTAGCCGAAAGATTTGATTTAATTTAATTGATCGAATGAGATAATTTTAGTAAGTTGGTTTCAGATCGTAGCAAATAAAATGAACATCATATTTAAATACATAATTATTATTCAACTTATTATTATTAATATTATTATTATTTTTA